AGGATCCCCTACCAGGGTTCTGTCTAGAAATAAATTAGAAACTAATATTGTTCCTTTTAAATTTATGTACACCATACTAGTAGACTACAATATCATGCTTTATGTATGGTCATTAGTATTAATTGGATGGTTGGTCTAAGTGATGAACTGGTTGGTTCATTTGTTGAGGTGGTTGTCCTGACCACCATAGGCAGAACTATGCTCTATTATTTTACTACACATGTACAGCACATGCTCAGACACGTACATGTACATGTTCATGTACATGTACGTGTACTATTGTTTTGTCCAACTTAATAATAACAATGAACTCAGTTATGGCCTCCGATACAGATTGAAATTAAACCACACGTACAAGTACATAAGCTAAATTTACATGCACACAAATCAAGTCAACATGTAGATGTACATGTATTCTGATTAATTCCGGTTCATAGAAATACAAACAAAACCTCTTAACTAGTTGGCACACATTTTAATCATTGGCTGTACTTACTTCCTTACATTTCGTATGTACAGCTACATTAAGACTTACATGTGCTTGGATTGGTGACATGTACATGTACTTACCTGTTACAGAACTATATGTACATGTACATGTATATAAATGAACTCTTTTGTAATAAAAGAACCCATTCAGACTCACTTTTACTTTCTTCTTTGCACCAGCAGGTCCTTCTTCAGGTATATCGTCAGACACTGCTCCCCTCACAATTTTGAGTCCCCCGATATGTCTATCAATCTGTTCCATCCTTCTCGCTTCCTCCTCGTGTCTCTCTATGCTCTGGAGCCGCTTCTGAGCCCTTAACATGTACATGGTTCCCTTCTAGTGTAGACAGAGCTGTCTTTTAGTCCAGATATCAGTGAGTTGAGTGGAATATGAGCAGCAAAGCCAGCAAGGTTACTTATTACACACCCCAACAATTTTAACCCTCTCTCTTTATTACTCATATAACGTCATAATGAAAAAAGGGGGCGTGCCTTAAGCTGCTTTTAATTTATTTACGTTACGTAATTACAAAAATGAGGTATGACATGTATGATCACTATAGTACATGTTATCAACTGTTCCATTATAAATTGCTTATCTTTTATAGATGCTTGTAATCTTGCCTGCTTCTCCTGTAAGGCTCTTCAAGCTTCTTCAGTTGGCATGTGAGGCTAGGAGGATTAATGGTGAAGATGTGCCAACTTCTTGTAAAATAAATGTCATACTAAAGTGAGCAATATTTTTAAAAAGGACTAAAAATTTTTAAAGTTCTGTTGAGTTGGTAAGGCACAGACCCACCATACATGTACACAAGACAAGATCTTCAACTTTTTACAAATTAAAGCATACCTACACTCCTAATAAATCATCCAGATTTTTTATTTTAACCAGCTTCATGTTCTCTATAATTCTTTCTCCCTTCTTGATCCTTCCCTATCTCTCTCTACATTAATGTTCCGTATTAAATCTTATTTTTATGAACATTTTCTAAATAATTTTGACCCTTCTAATCCTTGTACCTTTGATGTATGTTGTCCCTGTGCTAAATGTTATTTTTCTAAACCCTCTGTTTCTTGTTTTTCGTAGTATGTGTCTTTCCTTTCTTTTTGTTTCTTTCCTTTCTTTTCCTATTCCACTCTTTCCCTCTCTTTCCCTTCCTCTACTCTTCTACCCATTACTTATTAAAGGCTGCTCTCTTGTAGTCCTTCAGCACTTTCTCAACCTTTTTGTTTCTTCTTAATTAAGTGTTTTATCTTGGTATATTTTGTATGTGCTGTAAAGTTGTTTAATAATAAATAATAGTAATAAACACCCGGGTATACGCCCCTGTTTCTGTATACCGTATAGCAGGAAATTTTGGAGGGACTAAAATTTGGCGAATTGCTAAATTTTGGTGATTGGTGGATTTTAATTTGGCGAATTGGTGGCCATGTGCCATTGAGCATGCGTATAATGGCTCAAAATGGCGAATTTTTATTTTGGTGAATGGCTATCAAAATGCCAAATTTGCCAAATTTAATTCCCTCCAAAATTTCCTGCTATATGGTATCACTTTTTTCATACTACTGTATACAATGACTCCAAGAAGAGTGCTCTGATAAAAAATAAACTAGACTATCAAGGAGTTCAATGTTTTACACTATTAATTATTTGATATATAAAATTAGTATTTTGAGTTTTATGTAATATATATATAGCACTTTTGCCCATAAAATTGCTGTTTTCTTTCCTCTAATAAAGACATTTGTCACTATAACTTTTTATCACCGTATAGCGTGTGTATTTCCTGGGGAAAATATTTCACAAAAATCGCCTTTCAACCTATTCACAAGAAAAAATTTTGCATTTTCTTCTACTGACCATTATTAATATGATAAAAAATAATTTTCATAGATAACAATTTTCATGAATTTTTAAAACTGAAATTAGCAAAATTAAATCTCCATGAAATATACTCCCTAGTCTCCCTATATATGGTATACAAGTTAAAATTCAAATACCTATGGAATGATATTAGGTAACACTAGAATAGTCAAATCACCTTCATTATGATGTTGAGAGACATTCTTCCTATTTGCCCAAGCATGAGCTGTCTGCTATAGCAATGTATCTGTTTTGTAGTTCATATTCAGTGTTTTATGAATTTGTAATCATTATTGATCACACTTGCCTCTCAAATACCAGTAAATCTATTGATACAGAAAGACGCAATCATATTTCCAAACAAAACATAGTAGGCGGTCTCCACAATCATTATGAATCCCTATGGTTAAATTGGTTATTGTCATCTGTTATAACACTATTGAGATAAGGGTACAAAAAATGTTTTTCTAAGCATTCTCATTTCAGAGCAAATATTGACTGCAAATGATGGTACTTAGTAACATAAAAATTAGCCTAAGGATAGATGCTCAGAGATACCCCATTTCCAACTCTATTATCTAATAATATGTGCTGAATCTGCTGATGGTGCATGCAGGTGTATAAAGGAAGTTACATTCTTACCTGATAAAAGATAATTGGTGAAGAATGCAAACATTGACAATACCAGCACTATCATTAAGAATCATAATATACAGTACCATTAGTATGTACTAACACACAGTTGATATTACTAATATGTCATGCAGTATATTGTATTATGTAGACCTTATACTATAGTTAGGAATGATCAATTAGGAGTGCCTGGAGTGGTCACTGTGGTGGCTGCAATTAGTGAACAGTGAGTCTACAGTCTACGCATCAAAGGCCTTGGGTTTCTGTATAATTGCATATTTAGTGGCTTCTATGATGATATAAAAGTGGTAGACAGACAGTAGGAATAAGTATAATCATTGCAATAGAGAAACAAGTCAAACAACGGCATCAGAGCATCATGGGATCAGGACTCCTAACAGGAACCATACTAGTAAGATCAATATATATGATAGTGTATGGTACTATCTTTACAGGTTATACTGAGTACATGTTATACAAATGGACTAACATTGAATGACTTGTACCCATATGGTACAGAACATGGGGACACCATGAGGACTGGAGATAGTCCCCCCGTAGCACCATTACAGCCTTCAATTGATAATTTAGTTGGACTTGGTCCAGCTGGACTTACAGCAACAAGATACAGAGTTAGTAGCTACACACACACACACATGCACACCCACACACACACACATTATTAGTACTTTAGTTTGTATTGTAGTGCAATTGTACACTAACCATTATCTGTTCATTTTATTAGTAACACAAGTTATTGATCATTTCTCAGTTTATAGCATTTACTTATACTATTTATAGGTTATACGTAATGGGTACCTGGCAATTGCAAGCGATGATTTAAATAAACGTATCGATTTGAATTTGCTCACTCTGCCTTCAGCAAGTGATTTTTCCAATACTGAAGTATATGGTAGGACTACTGCTGATCCAGGGCTGATAAACAGAGCAATGGATCAGATTAATGAAGCATTTCCTAATACTTTCTGCAGTACATCTCCTCCTACACAATTAATAATAGCAACTTGGATAGATTATCTAAAAGCTAGCACAAACCTAGTTAGTTAATAATACATGAAATACTGTTAATAATAGCTAGCTAGCTACACTCTAATCACTTTATTCATTATTATTGTTAGGGCAGTAACTTCCAGGCAATTGTTGTAACTAATGGAAGCATTACATTTGGTATTGCTCTATATGTCAATGTACGCATTGCCACAGCTATTATCACTGGAATAAGTTCAATAGTTAACGTTTATGTACCACCTGATCCATCTTTCTTTCCATTTGGCACTGATGTCATGGATGCTCCTACTATGATGTCCAATAGCACCACACCAGGGACATATATATTTTCAATGAATGATATATTACCAGGTATGATCACTGTAGTACATGTATCAACTGTTCCATTATAACTTGCTTATCTTTTATAGATACTTGTAATCTTGCCTGCTTCTGTAAGGCCAGGCTTTTTCAATTCGCATGTGAGGCTAGGAGGATTAATGGAGAACATGTACCAGCTTCTTGTAATAACTAATGACATTTAATTGTATTGTATTTTTTATTGTTTTAGTTAAAAATAAAGTCAATTTTATACTTTAATAGTAGATAATAGAGTAGAGATTTATAGTTGTTATTTTACCAACATTAATTTTATTATTATTTTTGTCATAAATTATTTTTAATAATTATTTTTTTACCAAAGTAATGTCAGACAAGGAAAGGAAGAGAGAGGGAGAGAGAGTGTCAAAAAGAGATTGTAATAGCTTTTGATTATAAAATCAACTAAGAGACAGTACAGCAGGTACTATATAAAAAGAAAGATCCTATTTCAACAGATAAGCTGTATTACTATATACTGCTGGTGGTAGGTGTACACGAATATACTTTAGGAGTACATGATGAAGTAGTGTTGAAGAATGCAAGCATTGACAATACCAGTAATTAGTGACAATTAAGAAATCTTACCATTATCTATTATCATGTGACAAGTAGTATGTACTAACATACATAAAAATTTAATAATGCTGTTGCCAACTTCTGTAATTATATACAGAAACCAGTGAAGGGCCTTTGATGTGTAGACTCGCCATAGCTCCAAATACAACACTTCATCACTGATTGCACTTTAATCAAAATGACAGCAGTTTTCTTGTACTCAATGTCTGAGAAACGTTTGGTTATTATTATTATTATTACTTCTTGTGTTAGCAATGTATTCTTCTCATTCCACATACAGAATCTTGTGGATGATTTCCATCATGCATCCTGATACAATCAAAAAATTTTGGTTGACAAAAATTTGGAGCTCAATTATATCATCAGCAAGTGCTATATATCTAATAGCAAGAATACATAATATTATGTACTCTTGCTAATAGTCACACAACATTCCTTTGAGATCCTTTCTGCCCAACAACAATGCAGCCATGCAGTACTATCATGGTACAATACTGTGTATGTATTAGTACTATGGTACTAATACATAGGTACTATGATGCAGACAAACACAGATGTTGCTAAACAGGTAACCAGAGGTGATGAAAGGTAGTTTCCAATCCCTTTCATTTACTCTAATGTCTATGATGGAGTAAGTGTATATTCTCAAAGGCAATTTATATATACATATTTGAGTCAATTATTGCTGTCTTTGTAAAGCATAAATTGGTGAAGAATGCAACCATTGACAATACCAGTGATTAGTTTTAAAAATTATACGATTATCTATCATCATGTTACAAGCAGTATACGGTAATACAGTATGTACTGACACACATGTACCTGAACACAGTTGATATTACTAATGTCAGTATAATTTGTATTATATTTGTAGAGCTACATTGATAAGCCTTAGAGTGGTATTATTACATTTTATTATTACATTTTCTGATTCTTATTGATGCACTTATGCTGTGTAGCAAGTTTAAGTTGATTCCAATTTCAATTTTTCAAGTTACAGCCATTTTAAGAAAATGACAGAATCCTGGAAAATACCCAAGGCTATAGCCCATGGTTTTTTCCAAAAAATGGCTCCAAAAATACTCCCAATTTTTATTACATTTTTTGATACATATTGATGTACTTATGTTGTGTAGCAAGTTTGAGCTGATTCCGACTTCAATTTTTAAAGTCACGGCCATTTAAAGAAAATGCCAGAATCCTGAAAAATACCCAAGGCTATAGCCCATGGTTTTTTCCAAAAATGGCTCCAAAAACACCCCCAATTTTTATTACATTTTCTGATACATATTGATGTACTTATGCTGTGTAGAAAGTTTGAGCTGATTAGACTTCAATTTTTGGGAGTTATAAGCATTTTAAAAGTGGCCAAAATACTCTGATATTGATTGGTATTTAGCCATGCAAAAATACTGCTAATTAACTAATCGTCATAACTGTGTCTCCATTATGGAGAACATGTACCAGCTTCTTGTAATGCCTAATGACATTTAATTGTATTGTATTTTTTGTTGTTTTAGTTAAAAATGAAGTCAATTTTATACTTTAATAGTAGATAATAGAGTAGAGATTATAGTTGTTATTTTACCAACATTAATTTTATTATAATTTTTGTCATAGATTATTTTTAATAACTATTTGTAACAAAATAAATGTCAGACAAGGAAAGGAAGAGAAAAGGAGGGAGCGTCATAAAGAGATTGTAACAGCTTTTGATTATAAAATCAACTAAGAGACAGTACAGCAGGTACTATATAAAAAGAAAGATCCTATTGAAACAGATAAGCTGTGTTATTATACACTGTTAGTGGTAGGTGTACATAAATATACTTTAGGTGTACATGAAGTAGTGTTGAAGAATGCAAGCATTGACAATACCAGTAATTAGTGACAATTAAGAAACCATACCATTATCTGTCATCATGTTACAAGTAATATGTACTAACATGCATAAGAATTTAATTTTGCTGTTGCCAAATTCTGTAATTATAATACAGAAACCAGTGAAGGGCCTTTGATGTGTAGACTTGCCATAGCTCCAGTTACAATACTTTGTCACTGACTGTACTTTAATTAAAATGACAACTGTTTTCTTGTACTCAGTGTCTGAGAGACGTTTGGTTATTATTTCTACTTCTTGTGTTAGCAATGTATTTTTCTCATTCCACATACAGAATCTTGTGAATAATTTCCATCATGCATCCTGATACAATCAAAAAAATTTTGGTTGACAAAAATTTGGAG